TTAAGCCTGTTTGGAAGGACATAATATTTTTCTCTTATATATTTGCTTCGAAGTCTACTGTAGTTAGGGCATACAAGAAGAACATGCTACTCGTCTTCAATTGCATTTGTATTACATAATTTACAAGGTCTATGTTTTCTATCCATATTTACATATCTACCTTTCTCGATTAGAAGTTCATGAGATGATCATCGGAATCGTGCTAAACTTACTCTAAACTTTTTTTACATTTAAACATGATAGATAGAATTCGGTATGGATATTGTTTTTAAACATTAGGTAAGTGTCACATTTGCTTGAAATAGATAATTTTTCTTGCCAGTTTTGAAAATACATATCTTTTAGTCTTTGAGTAAATGATTTGATGAATTCCGGATATATTCCATTTTCTTGGTTATGCCAAATATCTCCAAATCCAGTAGCAAATAATAATTGCTTTATCTCAGTCACCCAGTTTTTGTGTCCATTTCTATCATATAAAAGCATCATATTATAACATATCTTTGGTAAGCGATAGGTTGGCATGTGTATTAACTTTATCAATACCGAGATTACTTTACAATAAGAGTGTATATGTAAAAGGAAACCTGCCACATTCTCCATAGATCATGATATTTGGAGTGTTTTGTTTAACACTTTTAAAAGCTTTTTACAGGCATACAAATGTACCATTTCTAGTTATCCAAGTGTATTTAACCCCAAATTTCTGCGCCATATAAAAGAATAGGGATATATTTTACATCAAATATTTTGAAAAATGAATTAATACTGACATCACCAAGAATATGTATTTGTCTTAGGAATCCGGAAGTACTTTCTGTGCCTGTACTGCTGCATAGTTTGCATGCAATGACCAGGATAATTGATTAGTGAAATATACACCAAGATATTTGTAAGAATTTGTACTTTCAAGTTTACAATCTTTATAATACCATTTTTCATTTTTTCCCAGTTTTCTCCCATTTTTAAATACCACTACTTTTGTTTTATCCAAATTAACTGTCAGCTTTGACTGCTCACAAAAGTTTTCCAGTTCATATATTTGCCTTTGCAGGCCAATAATAGTACTTGATATTAATACAATGTCATCAGCAAAAAGCAACAGAAATAAACTCTGTCAAAAAAGAAACGCAACCCCTGTATTTTAGAGATTTTGATCTGAAGTTTTAGGACGACACGGCATTTTTATTATTTAAGACAGAAGTCTGAAATTTGGCAGAATAATAACCAGATGGGCATGTTTAAAATTGTCATTTCAAAAGTCATCTCACAGACACCAGTTTGTCACCAGGGGGGCGTCTTTCTCAGTATCTCGTATGAGCACCACGCGCTGCAATCACTGCACGGCATCTCCTTGGACAAGAACGGATAAGACGCCGGATTCTTTCCTGGGGAATGGCTCTCCACTCCTCCTGCAGTGCAACGGCGAGCTGTTGCAGCGTCTGTGGCGGCGGCTGACGTTGACGTACGCGTCGATCCAGAGTATCCCACAGGTGTTCAATAGGGTTGAGGTCTGGTGATTTAGAGGGTCATGGCAAGACATTGACGTTGGAATTCTGCAGAAAGTTCATTGTTGCACGTGCAGTATGAGGCCGGGCGTTGTCCCGTTGAAAAATCTGTGTCTGTTGGTCAATAATCAGGAGAAGGTGAAGCTCTAACACGTGGTTGATGTAACGTTGGGCTGTCAGGTTCCCTGGAACGATCACCAAGTCTGATTTCTGGTTGTATGAGATGGTTCCCCAAACCATGACGCTTTCTCCGCCAAATCTGTCCACCTGTCGGACGCAGATGGGCGCAAAACTTTATGACGTCTCCTATACAGACGCTGTCTTCCGTCGTGACGTTGCAAAAAAACGTGATTCATCAGAAAACCAGATTCGCCTCCAGTTTTGTAAAGTCCGTATCCTTACGTTGTTGCACCACCTGAGTCGTCGGCGTCGATGTAGGGGGCGTAGTACAGGTCCAACAACTGGTCTACAGGCACGTAAACCCGCTTCTTTCAGACGGTTCCTAATCGTTTGAGCTGACACTCTCCCTCAAACCTGGTATTTGTGTGGCAGTCACGGTTGGTAGGGCATGCCGATTACGCAGGTGATGGACCCGGATGTACCGATCTTGAAGGGGGTCGTGATTCTTGGCCTTCCACTTCTCGGGCGATCGTTGGTCAAATTGAAGTTGTTGTAGCGGCTCCAAAGTCGGGATATCGTTGTTTTGTGAACATTTTAGATGCCGTGCAACAGTTCCAAACTTTCTCCGGCTTGAACACGACCAATGGCGATATTTCGGTCGGCAGCACTCAATCGTGGCATTTTAACACAGCTTTTCGGCGACAAATGAATGAATATAATACGGAAGCACATGGGCTTTTATACACCCTACATTAACTGCCATTTCATGAGTTGCATGTGTTTTTGTGCAGAAGTCACCATGAGGTCATTTCATGCGTTGTGACGGAATAAGCAATAAAATACACTTATGCGTACAAATGCAGTTGTTTGGATGGTAATCTTCATTAATTACGTGTATCATTTCAATACATTCGAATAAAATTTAGTTTGGAAGCAATAACTTCATTCAAACGAATTTTTCATATCTGAGGACAGGGGTTGCGTTTCTTTTTTGACAGAGTTTTTTAGTTGGAAGGTATCAGGATGTAGTTGAACGCCGTGTGTACAGTTATCCTCGATCTGCATGGCCAATTCATTTATGAAAAAAGAAAATAAGAAGGGACTCAGTACACAGCCTTGTCTGACTTCTACTTGTATGTCAAAGGTTTCTGACACTACATTATTATTTCTGACACAAGCTTTAACATTCTCATATATCTGTCTTAAGAGTTAATTCATTTTTGGGCTTAGTCCACTTGTGTTTAGAAGATTCCATAATTTATTTATTTCCACAGAGTCAAACGCTTTAGCAAAGTCAACAAATAACGCATAAAATATCCCCCTTTAATATTAAGGTATCTCTGGACGATACTTTGTAGAACAAACATATTATCAATGGTTGTGTAGCCTTGTCTAAAACCTGCCTGGCATTCAGTTAACTTATCCATTGTTCCCACCCCCATACTAACCCACCCCACCCCCACCCCTGAGAAAGTGTTATCCTCTATAATTATTAACGTTGTTTAAGTCGCCATTTTCTATAATTATTAACGTTGTTTTTCTTCGCCAGTTTTTTTCAAGTATCAGGTTGAATAATAAATCTAAGTGTTGGGTTAGAAGGTCAGCCGAATAATTAAACAATTCAGGTATCATATTGTCTATTCCTTGGGATTTGTTAAGCTTAAGATTCTGGATGCTGTCTAATATTTCTTTCCTAGTTATAGGCGAGTATAATATCTGTTCTGTGAGTTCGCAATTTACGTCAGAATTTATGGGATTATTATCACTTTCACATTCGGATATTTCACCATCTGTTAAGTTTTCGAACGAAAACAAATTTTTGAAGTGATCAAACCAATGTTTGGTATCAATTTTGTTCGTCTCATGCTTAGAGTTGAGACGTTTTAATTCATTCCAAAATCTTTTTGAATCATTTATACTATTTTCTATTATTGCTTGTTTATTTTAAAAATATTCGGTACGTTTTGTTTGCACACGGAATGGTATTCATTTCTTATCTTATTATAGTTTACAAATGAGCTTATATTTTTATGTTTTCTAAATTTGTTCAGACATCTACACCGTTCATTTTTCAATTTTCTGCAATCTTTATCAAACCAGTCATTTACAGATGTTTTGGTTTTCCTAAGTTTTCTTCATATCAGATGCGGCTAGACTAAGTGCCTCTACAATATAATCAATGCTTCTATCAATGCACGTAAAAGCGCAGTCCACAGATTTATCTAGGAGTTCCTGTACATCATCAGATAAAATGTTTTGCCTAAACTGTTCTAGTTTATTACTATCCCAAATGAATTTAAAGCCAGTATTTCTCTCTGTATCTAAAACATCAGGTTGTCGTGCATGAAGCGCTCGTATTTTCAACGTAACTGGGAGATGGGATGACTCGGCTCTGGATGTTATAGCGAAATCGCTAACAAAATCAAATACAGTTGCTGAGGATATTATATAATCAATCACACTGGCACCATTGAAACCGATATATGTAAAGTCTCCAGTTTCTGAGTCAGAGCCACATCGCCCGTTCATTATATGGATATTGAATACAGAGCATAAGTCAAGCAAGTGTTTGCCAGAGTTGTTTACTACCTTGTCGGCGGAAAACGTTTAAAACTGAAGCAATCAAAAATAGATTCAATAAAAGAGTAGTTTTCATTTTCTGTGAATTCTAATATATCATCTTCAATAAAGTCTGGCCGTGTCCCAGTTCGTGCGTTAAAATCACCGTCGTACAAGATACAAACATCTGGTAGTCCCGAAATTATTTCCAGTAGGTTATCTTGGAAAATAAGGATTCCATTTTAACATTCTGAAAGAGATTGGTCATACCATGCTGATGTTTCTGGATGTATGTAGGTACATGCATATAAAATATCTTTATCAAAACCAAACAAGGATTTATCAAATAAAATGAATATGTTGTTTTCAGTTATTCTTTTCACTTTTATAAATTCTACAAATTGGTTTCTAATGAGTACTGTAACACAAACACACAAAAACACACACACAACACACACACACACACACACACACACACACACACACACACACACACACACACACACACACACACACACACACACACGACACACCACACGAGCCTCCAGCAATTTGCTATTTTATCTGCTTGTTTGGTAATTGAAACATAATCTGTAAAACAGTGTTTAAAGTCAGTGTCATTACACCAAGTTTCAGTGAAGCCAACAAAGTCAAGTGTTTTAACGTATTCCATGAAGTCATTATCAATTAGTTTTTGTTTCAAGCCGGATACATTCCAAAATATGAAATTAGCAGACTTGTCCAAGTACATGTATGTATGATTGTCATTTTTGTCATTTGACTTCGTTTTCCGTTGATGCGTCCTAAAATCATTTAGACCCTGGCCACGCCCTTATCTGCGCTGAGTCCTGCTGGAGCGACGAAGGCCTGATCTGAGTTCACGTCTCTGGTCCCGACTCGGTCAAGAGTTGGTCTCTCTGATTCTTGCTCGGTGCTGGCCTCACTAATGGCCTGGTTAGGCTCATTCATCAGCTTGTTCCCCTTGTAAAAGAATCCCGCTGCACATACATGTCCTTAATCAAGCGATTTTGAGAAACAGATTTTGGATTCTCCAATTGAAGAAGAAACTAGTAAATCGCCTGGGGTCGACAATATACTAGCAGAAATGATTAAATCATCAGAAAAGGTCGTTATGCCGTTTCTTTTCGTATTATCTAATAATTAAACTATTTGAGAGCGGCAGCTTTCCAGATGCTTGGAGTAAAGCAATAATTATTCCATTACACAAGAAGGGTGACATCCACAACCCAGATACTATAGGGGCATTTCAATTATTTTTTGCAAATTATACACCAGCATATTAAACACTCGTTTAACACAATGGGCAATTTTCATGAATAAGATATCAGAAACTCAAGCGGGTTTTAGAGGAGGTTATTCTACCATTGATCACATTTTCACGTTGAATGCACTTATTGAAAAATGCTTATGTAAAAGAGATAAAAATGTTTGTTGCTTTCATAGATTTTAGAAGGCTTTTGATTCAATAAACAGATTTAAATTATGGAGCTTGTTATTAAGCTACGGTTTGGGTGGGAAAATGATGCTAGCGCTAAAAGGCATTTACTCTTCCGTCAAATCGTGTGTGCGATGTAATTCACATTTAACAGACTATTTTAACTGTCCTTTTGGTCTAAAACAAGGTTGTATGCTGAGTCCAATACTCTTTTCTCTGTTCATAAATGAGCTTTCTATTGAAATTTCACAAAATGGAAAACATGGCATCCAGTTATTTCCCCGATATGATAGAAATTTTGATGCTACTTTTCGCGGATGTTGTTATTTTAGCTTCAGATAGTAAATGTGGTCTTCAAAATCAATTACATATTTTAGCATTGTATTCAGATAAGTGGGGTTTAAACGTTAACCTAGATAAATCTAATATTGTTGTTTTCAGGAGGGAGGTAGACTTTAAAAATACTGATGCATGGTATTTTCAAGGTAATAACTTAAAGATAGTCAATAGATATAAGTATCTCGGTTTTCTATTCACGTGTAATGTTAACCTGGGCAAATTGTTATCCGATCTCTCCTTGCGTGGTAAAAAAGCATTAATGGAATTAAATGGTAACCTTAGAAAAATCGGTTCGTTATCACCAGATAACTTTTTCAAAATATTTGATAGTCAAATACAATCTATCCTATTATATGCTTCTGAAATGTGGGGATATAAAAAATATAAATGTATTGCAAATTTAATCCTAAACGTTGGACCTCAGACACCTAACGCTATTGTGTATGATGAATGTGGCCGTTTCCCTATTTTTGTAAATGCAGCTGGTCGTTGTCTTAACTACTGGATTAAAATAATAACAATGCACAAAGATCGCATACCAAAGAAAGCTTATGAAATGGTACTTAATCTCGATAACCATGGCTATGAGAAATGGGCTTAAAAAATTCGCTATTTGCTCTTTTCTTATGGATTTGGATTTGTCTGGTTATCACAAACTGTTGGAAATCGTGTAAGTTTTATTGGAATCTTTAAAACGCGTTTAGTGGATGGTTTTAAACAAAACTGGAGATCCGACTTTGACAATAGCACACGTTATGTTTTGTATAGAGAATTCAAAAGCTTATTAAACCCTGAAAAATACCTTTTTGAAATTGCCGATTATAAATTACATCAATAATTAGTCAGATTTAGAGCAGGATTACTAAGGTTAAAATTTAATGAAGGAGGATGGTGTAAAATTAACGCAAATTTGAGAACATGTCCTATCTGTTACGGAGGTCTAGAAGGCGTCACCACACTTTCGTAAACATAGTAAACAATGGTACATTTGAAAATTCTGTTGGTGGTCTAAAAGCAAACTTAGTGACACATTTGGTGATGTATTTTTAGTTGAACGCGACTTTCCTAATTAGAAAATTAACCTCTCCTGGTGGTTTCAGTATGCATACATTTCACGGACTGTAAACAGAATGTAAGTGGACAGTCCAAAGTGGTGCAATTTGTGGTGTTTGTCATTTCCTGAGCGGAATCTCTTCGTTAGGTAGAGGAGTTATGCCATAGAGAGTTATTTCCCTTTAAGAACATCTTCTAAATTAATACACAGCTCACACAAATGTTACGCTTCAGCTTAATGTTGAAGTAGAGTTTTAAGTGTTGAACCGTGCCGTGGGTTTGTAACATACTTTACACAAAACCTTTTCTGTTAACTTGATGATTTTAACAATTTGTATATTACACGCACATGAAAACAAAAGACGCAAGCACGTGCCCATGCACACGCACGCCACACACACACACACACACACACACACACACAACACACACACTCACTCACTCACTCGAGAAAAACTCACCACAGCACATTTACGTCAATCCAAACATCATGCACCCCACAATAGTGCGAAAACGCCTTTCAAAAACATTTCAATAATTGAAACAAACGGAGGGACTGCTTACAAATCCTGATATATAATTAGTTGTTAAGATGTAGTTTGAAACTTGCTGGAATACATATTACCTGTACTATATGTGCAGAAAGCAGGAGATGTCCACTTTGGCGCCGCAATATGTTGGGCACAGTTGCTTCCCCTGGTGTGCAAAATATATATCCTCGTGGCTTCAATTCCCGGTTCACCTGATTATGTTCCTTCGTTTGTTAACACCATGCCCGTGCACTTTGTATGTCACTAAACTGGTTAACGTGCATGACTTTGTATGTAATTGGGTTTTCTTTTAAAATATATGTTTTGAACAACTAATAAAGGGAGACAACTGTGTCGACCTTCATTGTGACTAATCTGGCACGCACCTTCACTGCCAAGCTCTGTGTGTGTGTGTGTGTGTGTGTGTGTGTGTGTGTGTGTGTGTGTGTGTGTGTGTGTGTGTGTTTAATTTACGACAAGTACTGAAAATCAAAATGAAATTGTAGTTATAGTAAGGTCGATATGGTTTCGTCTCGAAAAAAGTGGGGGGAGGCTTAGCCCCAAGCCCCCCCTGTCCCTACGCCCCTGCTGTATATGTAAACAATTACACCACCAATAACTGCATAATCTGATAATGTATACGTAAGCTCATTCTAGTTTATATGAATTAGAATTACAAATATCCTTTACCAATAATACGATGACCTTTGTCGAGTACGATTCTGAATTAGAAACATGCGTGTTGTGACACAATTACAGGATTGCGAACCGCTGCACATTGGCATCTTTGTCTCTGAGTTCTGTTGGTGTATTTATATAGTTGAAAGCCGGACCTCACATTTCAAACATCGTACAGTAGTAAACAGTATTATATTATGTAGAAATATAATTCTATACGAGATCTTCAGTAACCCATGCTTGTCGTAAAAGGTGACAAACGGGATCGGGTAGTCAGGCTCGCTGACTTGGTTGACACATGTAATCGTATCCTAATTGCGAAGATCGATGCCCATGCTGTTGATCACTGGATTGTCTGGTCCAGACTCGATGATTTACAGACCGCCACAATGTAGCTGGAATATTGCTGATTGCGGCGTAAAACTAAACTCACTCACTCACTATACTAGACGTACTGCGCAGAGGTTCAGATCCGAGATAATCATGAACAATCGCCTCCGTGGTGTAGTGGTTAGAGCGTCCGCCCGGAGAGCGGAAGGTCGCGGGTTCGATCCCCGACCGCGTCATACCAAAAGACGTTAAAATATGGTACTTGTTGGTCCCTGCCTGGCGCTCGGCATTAATGGGTACATCAAGGACTGGTCGGCTCGGAGTCAGTATCATGTGTCTGAGTGGGGTATTCATGCTTCACTGCGGCATGGTATCACAGTGGGCTAGCACTATAAAACCAGCTTAAGTCTGGGCTAGTAAAAGCAGCCGCACCTACACAAACACACGCATGCACGTCGTCATATGAGCAAAATATTCTCAATCACGACGTTAAACCCAATTCCACCACCACCATGAACAATCGACATACTACATGCTGATTTAAGCACTTGAAGGAACTGTATTACAAAACAGAAATATATCTTGGTATCACATTCTTTATTTCGAACCTATATAGAAAAAAATTAAACAATGCAAATCACAGGTATTGCATTTTAAAACTCATCACATCTGCAGTCAACAACTGATGAAGGGAGACAACTGTGTCGGCCTTCATCGTATACCTGGGACTGACGCCAGCTGCATTGCCTGGCTGTCCGGACAACATAATAACATAGTCGACTGGTGTATAGTTAAGCATGTTGTAGTTTACATAGTTATATATTTTTGGATTAAACCATACTTTAACTAAATATACCCTTTACCAATTACAATCAACTTACTCGAGAAGGCAGAGCGACGGCCGGTATTTCCGGTTAGGCGGGTTCTTATGCATTCGTCACCTCTCGCCCCTTTCCGCAACCCCGCTATTCGGCTTGTCCCGGAATAACACGAGTTGGTCACGAATGGCTCTTATGGTAATGTTATGCATAATAGATTATTAATATACGGATTATATTCTTAGGCTAGTCTTATAACTTAACGCTTAATTTAATATCAAAAGAATATCTATAAGAGCATGCTTGTCAAGAAGAATTATGTCACGTCCATACATCTTCAGTTTGGACGGACATGTTAATGTGCATAGAAATACATTGGTTGTCATGGTAACAGATATGACATGTGCATTCGGGTGTGTAACAAGTCACTGTTTAATAAATGCATATATAGCACGGACACTCTTTAATCCGGACGACAGAGAAAGGAATGATTGGAATCGGTGAAGTTACCCCGTTTCCGGGTAGATACATTCACGTGACATCTGACCCGTTGTGTTGCATGTAGCATGGCAGCCAATCCTTTATCGATATAGCTGGACGATCGACGCACTGGTCTTGGTCAACTGATAATCAATACCACAAGTCATTGTTCATGAACTTTAGCAGCGCATAAGCAGACCTATGTGAATCATTGATAGCGGGTCATGTACTTAAGTAATGAAAGACATATCCAGGTCAGTGAGCATCCGCGTACATCGTCATTAGACCCGCGAATGGTTTTAATCTCGATTTAATATTGCATTTTGTTTCATGTTGACCAGCCACAGACACGTGGAGTAATTTGCACTACGGTTTACGCTCAACAAGAAACTGAATTGTTCGGTTTTCACACGCGGAGTCGTAAATAACGTTTGTGGTTCATATATTTGGACGAATCAATTTGATTGGGAATCAATCAAAGGTTGGCTAAAATTCTGTTGGTTGATGATTGTCTTTTACCAGGTCAGGACAAAATATGGCAGTCTTATCAAAATGTAAACAATGACTGGACAATCGTTGATAAGGCAGCGTATTCATCGCCTTTCTATTGGGATAAATCCCATTGGCCCATTCATTTCCACCTGTTTGTTTCGGAAGTGACGTCACTATTTTAATTTCTCGTACTACCATGTCAGGACGAAATAAGGCTGTCAAAAAGACCAGACATAATGACTGAACAATCCTTGATAACCCAGCGTAGTCATCTCCATTCTATTAGGATAAACACCAAGGGCCCATATTCACTTCCGACGGTTTGTGTCGGAAGTGACGTCACTATTTCAGTGTCTCGTATTGCCGACTTAGCACGTAATTAGTCTTGTCTGTAGATATAATATGATTTATCGCCATGCTATGTGAATAGGGCTTAATCGAAGCTGTTGTTGCGAGTTTAGCCAGATATATGGAGAGAGCAAGAACGCGTTCTTAACGCTAAACAGCTTAATTATTACAACTTTTTAGGCTTATGCTTCATATAATTGTTGTTAAACCATAAGAGGTACGGTTGTGTATGTTTGTCACACAAAGTTATAAATGCCGCTCTAAGAACATATTTATCGCTACAGAACGGAGACATATAATGCACTGGATTATCGGGAGTGATTTAACGAGCGCTTCAAGCAAATATTATATTCGCATATACAAATATCAAATAAATAGTGATAACAATGTTTCAATGAAAGTGAAGCAACTGTGAGATATACCCGTAACAAATAACTGATGTATGTGGCATTTGAGTCAGTGGCTATGTGTATTTCCCAAACAGGGCATGCCAAAATTATCACAAGACAAATATGTTCAATCATGGTTTGTGAACGAGGAAACAGAAGTTAGTCAATTTTGGTTCTGGCGTTGTACACTCCAGTGGGAGCCTCGATTTTGTTCTCACGTGTGGCTCCAAAATTTCAGCATTTTTCTCAAGAAGGAGCTTGATTGCCTCCCGTTTGGACGCCCTGTTGGCATAAAACAATGGCGTCCTTCCATAGGAATCTTTCGCATTGACATCAGCTCCACGGCCGATCAGATAATCCATGATTTTCACATGCCCTGAGTTCGCAGCTATGTGTAGAAGTGTACATTTCCCAGGGAGTCCCTCTGGTTTTCCCATGGGAAAGTTCACGTCCAGACCAGCACTTAACATCACTTTCACAAGCTTCTTTGAACCTTTCTGTGTGCATGCGTGAAGCGGTGTCCATCCTCCGATATTCGTGGTGAAAATTTCCCGTGCGAGTGGTCTGTTTGTTTTCACGAGATGTTTGGCTTGCTGGTATAGCTTGCTTTCGTCATGCCGTAACAGAGCGATCGCACCTATTGACATCTGTCTCACGTCATTGCTACTTCCGGTTAGCCTCTTATTCAAAGCTTCAGGCAACGTTGGCATATCCTCCTCTCCCCTCCGTGGTTGCTGGAAAAGAAATGAAAAACTTCAAAATTACAATTCTGTCAAATGTACCACAAAAACTCAAAAAACAAAATGGGAGGTGGGGTAGCCTAATAGTTAAAGCGTCCGCTCGTCACGCGGAAGATGAGGGTTCAATCCCCCATTTACAATGGGTAAAGTCCATTTCTTGTGTTCCGGCGTAAAACCACATTCACTCACAAACTTTAAAAAAGCATATAGGAAGCACTAGAGCTTCTTTTTCAGAATTTCCGTGTCCAGAGGTCAGGACAAAAGTATAACATTTTCTAATTAGGACACTGAAGATGACTGCTCACTCGTACTGAATCATCACGTTCAACTACGCAGTAAACAGATACCCTCGTGGTGTAGGTATATATCTTCTCCATTTCTCTAACTATTAATACACCTAACACTTGTGGGTGGACCTCGACTGAAATGTGTTTCAGGTCGAACAGTCGGACGATGCATAGTCTAGACCATGTACTAATTACCCTGGGGAAGGTTGCGGGTTCGATCCCCGACCGCGTCATACCAAAAGACGTTAAAATATGGTACTTGTAATATGAGCGAAATATTCTCAAGCACGACGTTAAACCCAATTTTACCCCACCTCACTAATTACCCTGGGGACACGTGGAAGCTGCCCGTTGGCGCTGAAACTAAATGTGGTGTTCTACTGGAGTGTCCAGATGGACAAGGATGTAATTGAGGTCATTCAGGCACACAAAGGCTGATTTGTCAAGGCGAGTACTCTGCGTTTGCGTTTCTATGATTTTGCAAGCAGCCTTTCCTCATAAGAGTTCAGTGTGGATTTGACAGAAATGAATCTGTAAAGTATTACCTCATTAAAGTGAAACGCCTGTTAATATACGACCTCACTGAGACATTGTAAAGCTTTCATTCATGTTATAAGGAACCGATCTGGGAAATGATTTTCAAGAGTTGAAGAACAACGTAATACGTTGAAACAGGGTCTTTCTTCCAGAATAGAACTGGTCAGAAATAATGCCAGGATCTGGATTAATTCACAGAACAAACGAAAAAGATTTAACTGATTTTAAAATCGGACTAAAAATAGGACTGGCAAAACATACGAACAAGACATGTAAATGAATTGTTTTCGAACCGAGATCGAGAGGTCACAACAAGACAGACAGATAGATCATTCGAACAGTTCGAAAACACAGGTAAATGTACACACAGGCAGTATATTGACATAGAGACGGGTGCAGAGTACGGACATCAGTGATGATGATGATGTTATGGTGAACATCTGGGCAGGTAAACAAAGTGTCAGGAGCCTCAGACAGCCATACAACTACATACCTATTGTTAAACTCGCCATGGTCTCCGGCAGGGTTTACTACACACTAGTCATAACCTCGCTGTTATGATTTATATACATCACGCGGATCTTGACGGAGAATAATGGAACACTGTCAAACTCCCTCTAGCGTGGGCTTTAAATTGCCACATGTTGCCACTGAGTCACGTACGCGTGCCTTAATTGAAACATGGAATAACAAAACAATCTGCATAACTGAAAAACAGTATTTGATCAGCAATTGTTTCGAAAAATAAATACACTATCAGATTGCAGTTGATTAAAAGCAAAACATCCAGGACTTTTGCGTTGTGAATAGAGCGCGCTGCTCGCTGTAGTACGTTCCGTAGGCCCTTGAACAGTCATAAATAACACCTGGTCTGACAGATACACGAAATGAATAAACGCTTCCCTTGTAACGCCACTGGGTCAACCATCTCTAAATACCACTCTGTTCCTTAGCTATAGGTAATCAATAAAGTTATATTGAAACGAAAACCGTTATCGTGCAAAAGGGAAATAAAATTACAAGTCCCTTCTTTACAGAACTGCAGACTGTTTACCGTAGCAACAACATATGATGTTAGACGCCACTTAAATACATTGGCGTCTATTCAAGGATTTACGGTACCTTGAATTGATCGAAATGATGACTTAGCAAAATATAGTGTGAGCGTTAACACTGGCTAATACACGCATGATGCAGCGCACCTGGCGCTTGACTATCAGTGATGATTTCTATTATACTATATACTCCTTCGTGATTAATCAGAGTATAAATACATACAGTGCTAATGAAATTCGATCACGATCACGACTGACATTTGGATAGATGTAATTACCCTCCACAGCGTTTGTTTCCATTACGCGGGTTCCATGTCTCTGAACAAAATGGATCTGTAGCTTGGACAGGTTTCAGTCCAATGTACACATATATCCGTGTTATGATTGTCCTCGAGCCGGTGCAAGTGTGTTGATATACAAGTCCTACGGTTATGCAAGAGACACGTCACACCTTTACCGCACCATCCAACCGAAAAAGCCACAAGCGGTTGAATGATCTACAGCCCGTCACTTCCAGTTCCTGAGCCTTCGGCTATCAATATTGGATAAAGTATCTTATTGATGGCTGGTGTTCACGTGATCACAACACAGACATGGGGGCGTTGCCATAGCGATCTGTAAACATTACCTCTAGAGGGTATTTCGCCCCACGAAATTATCTGGTTTATTTCACTATTTCCTGAAATCGATAGGACAAGAAAGCGATGGAATGCCTTTTTTGTCTTTCATGATAATCACTTCGGCAATATCGATACGTCCTTCCACAGTAGAATTAAGATTATCGATAAATGGTAAACACTACTGGATGAGTTATTTTGGTCTAACAGCGTGTCAGTTACACTGTTCGCAGTACGGGGACTTCGTTAAGGTTAGCCCGTGAGCGAGTATAATTTTCCGCCGCATTTGCAATATAATAGCAATATCACGACGGGTGTCCCAGAAATGGGACTCACGCTGCAGTCATGTAGGGAATAGAACCCGGACCTTCGGTATGACGAGTCACGGTCTAACCACAAGGCTACCCCACCACACCAACTTTGTTCACGTAGCTGTGATGTCTTACTCATTTATCATATTGCCTCTTTCAGAATATCATTTACTTCCAAATTCGCAACTTCTTCATACAGGTAAAGTGCACTGGAGTTTAATCTGACGAAAGAAGATCCAAAAGGTGTTTTTCAATAGCTTTAACTTTTAAATTTAAATCTAAGCAATCTCAATTTTTAGCTGACAACTTTTGTATTCATAACACAAGGTGGCATGGTGAAATCGCCATTTGAGGTCTACAGAATAATTCCACTTTGCGATACCTGGCAGATGATGTGGAATCTCGACCTGAGGGTGCGCTGAACGAGGTGATGAGGACTTCTTAGCGTGATGTAAGTAATTCATAACAAGCACACCTTATGAGTCGAATCTTCAAATGTGTTCTACATCAAACATCACTATGGAACGCTTTACCAATAACCCTCTGTCGATGTTGCAGGTACTGTTTCAGGGAGGCTATGATAAAAATGTCATTACAGTAACTCATTAATCGACGAGGCAAGGTCAACCCAAGGTTCAAATAATTATGTATACGTACTATATGAGTGAGTGAGTTTAGTTTTACGCCGCACTCAGCAATATTCACGCTATATGGCGGCGGTCTGTAAATAATCGACTCTGAACCAGACAATCCAGTGATCACACGTACTATATGAGACAATTGGTAGCAATATATATATCGATGGGCGCATTTACCTTCAAGTGCTGTGAGACCAAGCACTCCAGATTATGTAACTGTACTGAATAAGCTCATTACAATACCTTGTGCCATGGTGATCATAGTTAGCCGGATATTCGGGAACGACGGCGTATAATAACACGTAAACTAATATCATTAGAAAGTGTTAAACCTTATCCGATTATTAACAAAGGTATGAACTATATGCAGCTTTAAAAGGTGTTCACTTTTGCATTCCAATCACTTCGAAGAGTTTCTGTATAATCAAAATAAAGTGCGATGTATAATTTTCTAACGAAATATAAGCTGTTGCATGTAGCAAAACGTACTGATAAGCCTTGCCATAGCAACCTAAACAATGGCATTTGAAAAATTAGTAAATGATATTTGTTGCTCTTAAAATATCACCTCTCGGCTAAAAGGTTCATTCAAAGCCTGCAGTAAACGTTTGAAATACCCTGTTATAATAGCTGATAAATTATAAACTCATATTTTTTTCAAGTTTGTAAACCAAAATACACATATGTGCAACACATCGTGGGAAAAGGCTCAATGAATGAGTATTCTTGGCACAAATCAGGATGAAAAGGCATAAAAGCGCGATTTTTCTCGCCAATCACATTTAACTTTGTATTTCATGAAATACACAACTTTAATTTCGTATTCATACCCATAAAACGGTATGTTAAATATTTCTTAAACGCACAGAGCATTGAAATGTTTCAGTTACGTTGTCTAGCGCAGTATTGTCTATTGAACGTGATCACGCGTGATCACTTATAACGTAAACCGCCTCCGTGGTGTAGTGGTTAGAGCGTCGGCCCGGAGAGCGGAAGGTCGCGGGTTCGATCCCCGGACGCGTCATACTAAAAGACGTTAAAATATGGTACTTGTTGGTCCCTGCCTGGCGCTCGGCATTAATGGGTACAACAAGGACTGGTCAGCTCGGAGTCAGTATAATGTGTCTCAGTGGGGTATTCATGCTTCACTGCGGCATGGTATCTCAGTGGGCTAACACTATAGAACCAGCTTAAGTCTGGGCTAGTAAAAGCAGCCGCACATACACATACACACGCATGCACGTCGTCATATGAGCGAAATATTCTCAATCACGACGTTAAACCCAATTTCACGTCACGTCACCTCACTTATAACGTAATTACTTAGAACGGACCTATGGTATATAAATCAACCTTGTTGGGACCTGTCATTAATAAAGAGGTTGGTGTCATCTCCATCAGGTGATTGATCGTATCTTCTTTTTATCATAGTCTTAATCATGTACATTTTAGACTTGGGAGATATCATTTCAGCAATAAACCGATCGCTCATCAAGTTCAAATCAATCACTCGCACTAACACGCCGGTGGGTGTGAACTCTTAACAGAGGTGAGTCTGTGTGAGTCACTCTGCCTGTGCGGTGTTGGAAGGAGGCAGTTGTCGTTTTTGCGACGGTTTCGACTTGAAGGCGTTGTTATGGAGATAATATTCATCACCGTCTGCATCAAATGAACTCACAACGAGGTCATTGATCACGACGTCTCAGTCATTGGTGCGGTCATCATTTGATGTTGGTTTGGCCTCACGGGAAACACACACCTTCATCACCCGTGTTCATACTAACCCTTAGCTCCACATTTACACCGCCATATCACCACCACCATCATCATCAGTATCATCGTCGTCATCATCATCATCATCATCATCATCATCATCATCATCATGTGTGAAACCCATTTATTGTGTCCCCCGCCGTGATATTGGTGGAATAT